TTTGAAGAACAAAAAAAAAACCAAAAAACACTCAAATACGCCAAAGTCACACAAACATAACGTAACATGGCCCAAGATTCTGAGAAGAGTTTCCATTCCATCATGGACAAGGCTCTTTCACCCTCCCAAATTACCATCCCATTCTTCACCTTCCAGCTCCAGGTTCTCTCTTTGATGTTTATTTTATTTTATTTTCGTTTGGTATCCATGAAAATTGATTATTACAGTATATGAATCATGAGAATCGTTTATCTCTGTACTCTTTTCATTCCCATGTGCGTGTCTGTTTTGAGGAACAGTGCAACACCATCGAATGCTAGCCGTAGTTTGATATATTGCAGTTACAAGTTGTTAGTATTGCATCCTTATAGTTTTGTTTAGTATATGCCTAAATTACAGCTCGATTTGTTGTTAGCTACGAAGTTAGATTTAAACCTTTTGGCGTGTGTCCTTGTTTGGCATGAACTCAATATTGACTCTATTCTTTGTTTTTAGCTTTTCATTTTCTGTTTTTCAATATTGTGTAGGAAATAGGGATTAGTAATGTGTTTGTGTTTGCGGTTCATGTGGAGTGCAACAATTAGGGGGTAAGAAACGTCCTTACCAGTCAATTGCATTAGGGGAAATGGAGTTGAATAGGAGAGGGGATGTTGTTGAGGGACAACAGTCCTCTTCAGCTATTCATCTTATGAGGAGATTTCCATGGGATCGCGGTGATTTTATGAGGAGATTAGCCACAGTCAAATCTATATCATAGTTTGTTAAATTGTTTCTAGCTATTCATCTTCTATCTTTTTCTTTACCATTTTAGCAAATCATTATTGTTCTTTTTATTACTGAGTATGCCTGCATTTTAGGTCATGATTATGATCAAATGGTTTTAGTAGGTGTGTGTTTGTGAGGAAACCAGTTAACTAAATACCAAAGAGGCAGGTACCTGATATTATTCTGGAAACAACGACTGAGGAAGATAAAGAGTAGAATGATCCTTTTTGTTGATTAATAAAAATACACAGCAATGGCTAATGGAGCCTTTTACACCGTTAACTAACTGTGCAGGGACTTTTCAAAAGGATTTCCTTGTGGAAATGAAGTAACAAAAAGTGATGCCTTTTATGATTCGTTGATCCTCTATTTATAATGTAAGCTTCAAGGGGTGGCTTAGCTAGGTGAGGTTGTCCAGTTGTTATAGCACGGGGGTTCTTGTCAGTCTGAGGTATCTTTTCCTTTCATTTGAAATTTGCATTTGGGCCATGATACAAGGGTTGAGACAAAGGGTTTCTGGGTTTGTTGACAGCTTTAAACATATGGTCTGGAAGACTGAAACAAATCATCCGGTCATTCCAAGTACAATCTGATTGATAAAAATGGCCAACAGTTTATCTTAGGATGAAGGGGATCAGTATTTGTCTCGTTGTTAATTTGGTGAAAGATCTATGTTGTTGCAATGCAAAAGAGGCCTTTGTCTCACATTGTCATCGTATGTCTTGTTGTTCTGGGATTCTAGATGCATAATGATGAGACATATTGTCTTGTAATGCATGTCTTGGACATCTTATTTTTCCTCAATGTAGGTATTCTCTCTCCCTCTCTCTCTTTTAAAGCCAATGACTCTTCTAACCACAATATTTTTATTCTTGATCATCCATTGGCTTTAGATTTTTCCTCCAAAACAGTGTGTTTGCCAATTTAAATAGTGACCTAGGCTTTGGATTTCCTTGAGCTAATTGCATATTGTAGCCGAGCTTGATCAATCCTCCACTAGTTTATGTAAAAGGGCAATGCTGTTTAAAATAGACTTGCTCTGCAGGAGGGAGAAAAATTAAATTGTTTCTGCCTTTCTGCTGAGTTGTTTGCTTTCATTTAAGAATATCATGGGTTCTGTTGAAGTAAAAATTTATCCTTCTTTAACAATATTTGGTGAAGAATACCATATTTTTTGTAAATCAGTTTCATCATGGCATTATCAAGACATGATTCAGCTGTATAATTAACAATATTTGGTCTACAGCCAACCTCCTTTTGTCATCCGCCCTCATCCTATTTCCCTCAAATTTAATGGCTTAGCTTTTGACTTCTGATATTCACGGATAGTGAGTGCTGTAAACTGTGCTAGAAGAGGTTGGATCAATGTGGATATTGACACCATAGCCTGCGAAGCATGTGGGGCACGCCTTCTTTTCTCTTCACCAGCATCTTGGAATCAGCAGCAGGGTATGGCATTGTTCTCAGTTATTATATAATTCACAACAACATTCAATTGTATGGATTTTCTAACTAAAATGTCCTTTATTCAGTGGAGAAGGCAGCCTTCGTCTTTAGCTCAAAGTTGGATAATGGACATAAATTACTTTGTCCATGGGTTGACAATGCCTGCGATGAAACACTGGTCCGATTTCCTCCAATACCTCCTCCAGTATTAGTTGACAATTTCAGAGAACGCTGTTCTGCTCTCTTGCAACTATCAGCTCTTCCACGTATTTCATCATCAGCAATTGACTACATGCAAAGCCCACTTCTGGAAGACTTTCTTAGACAATCTTTGATGCTGGAGTGTGGAAATGGATCTGCCAAAAACTCTGGGATTGTAGATGTTAGTAGTCAAGAGGAACTAAAATTATATTACAGGGAATTACAGGTTTTCTAGACAGTTTAAAATTCTTTTTTCTTTAAATTTTTTTCAATTACTGGTATATGATCTGGTATTTGTATGTTGTTCTTGTTTAGTGATTCATTTTTTTCACTGCTGAATGAACATGACACTTTCTTGTCAGATAGAATTTGCCCATTCACCTTTCTATGTTTTCTTACAGGCTTAGTGCTTTTCAATAACATTCTTAGGAGATGCTTTATGTCTTTCTAGCTTAGGAACTACCTGGCTTGATCTAATATTCATTTGCAAGGATATATCAGATCAGTTTCTTGAAAATACAACTACTCTAGACTGTTCTCGAGTAGTTGCTGATGTGAAGAATAATAGTCTCGTTCTCCATTCTACTGACACTGATGAAAGTTTGAAAAAAGATAAAAAATTCAAGGATTCTAGTGGGGAACAAATGGATCCCAATTCTGCAGTTTTAGATTGCGCCCTATGTGGAGCCACTGTTGGATTGTGGGCATTCTGTACTGTTCCTCGGCCTGTGGAATCAATCAGATTAGTGGGATGTGCAGAAGTGAATGGTGAAAATGATTTTGTGACCTACAGTTTATTCAATAAAAATGATCTTGAAAATAGGCAGGGTGTAAATAATTCCATGTCTTACATTGCAAATTCATCAAAGGATACGTCTTCAACTCTAAATATGACAATTGCAGGGGGTCCTCCCCCAACAAAGCAAAACTTTAAAGCAATAATATCTCTGCCTGTTATTGGTTAGCATTTAAGGGCTCGTCTTTCTCATGATTCTGATTTTGCAAATCATATTTTTGTCAATGGAGGTGGTATTCAGTTGGAATCACAGGAGACTGGGATTCAGGAGAAAACTAATAACTCAGTAAATGCTTCTATTGAGCAACTTGTTCCTGTGTCTTTTGAAATCAGGGAAATATCAAATTGTGAAACTGGTTCCCAAGCAAGTATTCGTGATTCAGTTGAAGATGATGTTATAGTCGGTACCTATTATGCAGGGCAACCTTGCGATCTTGTGGATAAAATGCCTGTACACTCAGAGGCAGATGGATTGAAGAGTTCAGCTGCAGAGCATCCTAGTAGCTCTCAGGTTAGAGATTTTTCATTTGTCAAATGGACAGTTAATTATAATACTATTGGAAAAAATTACCGACGAGTGATTATTGTGTCTGGTAATCACAATGTGTAACAGTAACAGGATGAGAAATAAATATGGTGAAAGACAAAAATTTCTTTGCTTGATCATTAACAATAATATTGCTGTGTAGAAAGACTTGACAGAAGGTGAAGCACTTTCAGTTTCTTCACATAAGACTTTGGATGGGGAAGTCAGAAATCTTAAAAATTATGGGATCAATGACAGAGTAGAGAATCCCATTAACATTGAAGATGTACATTGTAGTTTAGGTAAGCACTATGTGTGATAGTTCCTTAATAAATCATTACCGTTGGATATTTGACTGTGAATTAGAGTGTGACCTGCATTCTAATTGGCAGTTGCATCATTGTCTGTTTTGGCATGAAAATTTGTAGTTCATTTGTCATCGTGAGTTAATTTATAAGATAAATGGGAAGTTTAAGAATCTTCTTCCCTTTGCTTTCCAGGAAATTTTAAGAATCCTACACTATCCGATAAAGCAATGGAATTTGATCCAGGAGTGGATCTTCTCATGTGAAAAAGTGGTCATGTGGTCATGTTATTTGATCACAACCATTCATTGATGATGAGATAAGAGAGAGAAAAGTATAATTTTTTTAAATAAGTGGTTGTGATCAAATAGCATGACCACATGACCATTTTTTCACATGAGAGGATCCACTCTCCGAGCATTATATGCACTGTCTGTATCATCAGAAAAATCATTTGTTGCATTCACTAAATAGATCTCCATCATCTGTGCCAATTATTAAGGTATTTCTTGCACATCTTATTATCTTGTTTAATTATTGGATGTGCTATTATATACCTCAGTAAATTAGTGGATAACAAGTTAAGAACATCATGGACAAGATTTCTTGGAATGACCTTGCCTTATTATTGTTACCTGAGGATGTTTACTATCTTACCATATACCGTGTGTATATGCAGGTGGATGACCCTGTCGGTTCAACTAGAAAGCTTTACACGTCTCCATCTATAAGAAGAATGAAGACCGCTCTTATTTCTACAGAGCATAGGTAGCTTGGGTCCAGGGGGTCCCAATTCAAGACCCCCTCCCCCTCACCCTGAAATTTTGTTTATGCTGCCATTTTTCTTGGCATGTTATTCTATTTAATAGCCTTGTAATTGTTGTATCAAAACTGTAAAACTCTTTCCTCATTTGTAATACAAATAGCAGACTTGCATTGGGTTGGATGATAATTGATAATGGAGATTTTTATAGAATGTGATATGTTCTCTTAAACAGGAAATCAGCTAGAGAAGGGAATGAATAAAACATTGTGCTACACCATTACACCACAGTTTGTAACGATGACTTTCGAATAAGGGCGGTTGAATCCTCTTTCTGCTACAACAGCCCTCTTGTCTCCTATTAGCTTTGCCACCCTGTCATATCAATATAACTGATTAGTAATATATCACTGACACAGGTTCAACTGCAGATAGCAGCAGACATATACAACAGGTAGAAAACAAAGATAACGTGCCTCAAGATCTAATTAACTATTTTAAACATGTCATGTTGGACATTTGAGTAAGATCTATTTCATGACTACAATGGCAAAAGTACTTGTCTGTTAGACTCACCTAAAATATGGAGAGCCCGTATTTTCCTGCACAGTTTTTACCTGACCAATCCTCTGCACAACCTCCATCCCTCCTACAACTCTTCCAATTACCAGAGATGATGCATCCAACTCTGGTGAATCCTTTGCGGTGAGGACAAATTCTGTTCCATTGGGATCAGTTCCAACTTCTTCTTGATCAATCTCCAGCTTCCCTTTTCTTGCAACCAGCTTCAACTTTGGAGGTGGTTTTGATGGGTCTCTCACAATAATGCCTACACTTCCAGCCACGTTTTTAATCCCAGGGCATCTCTCATACATTCTCTCCCATTCATCAACAAGACTTTCAGCTGCTAAATTGTTCCCTGTCCCCTTAGCAAGTTCAGCATCCACTCCATAGGATCTAATGCCACCATGTTGGATGTAATTAGGCATGATTTTAACAAACTCTTTTCTTCTGTAGCTAATACCAGCAGCTCCACTAACAACCTTACTAAACCTATCAACTCCTGCAGGAACTTCATCTCCATAGAGCCCTATAGTAATGCGACCAACTGGTTCACCATCAATGGATATGTCAAAGAACACTTGTTTGGTAAGTTTTTTTTCAGTGCAGCTGGGAGTGGTAGCCAAATTTTCTCCTGGTTGATCATTGTTATTTGTGTCAGTAACATTTTCTTCTGCTCTTGCTTTGGATCCATCCAATGCCTGAGCACCCAAAAGAAGCAGCAAGCAAGAGTTGCTGTAGATTGTGAGCTCTCTACGTGTTAATCTGCATTGTTGCTTGAGGATTGGAAAAGATGGAGAATTGGGTACTAGTTGGAATGGTGGAAGTGACGGTGCTGACTTCTGAATTGGAGGGTTGAATTGTTGAGGGGAAGGTCGCAATACTCTTGTGTTTTGTAGCATTTCTTTGTTGCTCTTGGCACTGCTTGTAAATTGGTTTATTTTAGTGTTTGCGTCAGCTGTTCCTTTTCGTAGGGAGATTATGAGATTTAGAAAAGAAATGAAAGACAGATGAACAATAGAATAGATAAGAGTAACGGATACTGAAGAGATTTCATGGATAAGAAAGATGGAAATAGCTGTTTTCTATGGCCGCCATTTGCTTGTTGCATATCAGACTTTTGGTGTACATTACTTTATGTGGGTCCCTTTAGATATAGAGAAATTACTATGCGGAAGAGGTATGCATAATATGCACACATTTCACAATACTAAGTTAAGGTTTTTTTTAGTTATTTCGCACACCGTTTTGATATGCAAAAAAAAATGTGTGAAGAATTTCTTTTATGTGTAAGCGTTATACAGGTTTAAAGATAGAGAGACTTATCAAAAAAAAATAAAAAGATAGAGACACCAATATGAAAGTCATTTTATATGTGTACAAATTGTCCCAAACAGATAATTAAGTTTTTTTTAGTAATTTTTTTTTAAAAAAAATACCTGATTGGTGAATAAATTTTTTTATTTGAAAAATTGGAAACGAAAGAAAGAAAATGAACAAAGCCTCGTATTTTTATTCATATTAAATTTATTGAAAATGTTCACCAATGTCCTTATAATTAATTTCAGAATCACTTACGGTTTTTTTTTATCACATATGTCTACGTGATTTGCAAAAAATATATTTTTTATCACATATACTTCTGTGATTTTTTATTTTTTACAAAGCACCGGGGCATATGTGATAAAAAAATCACAAGAGCATATTCTGAAGCAAACCACGAGAACATTGATGAACTTTTTTCTAAATTTTTATTAGAGTAGATAATTTATTTACGTTGAACCCAAAACGATGTCGTTTTGAGGCGGAAATCAAAATATTTTTGTAATTATAATTTATTTCAGGATTATAATAGTCTTTTTCATTATAATTTTTTAATTTTTAACTAAAAATAATGTCGTTTTGAGAGCAAATATAAATAACTTATCTACGTTCATCAAACATTAAAACATTCTTATTAATATGTATTTTTCATTTTGTATGGAAACAAATACCCATAAAGAACACTCCTCTATATCTATCAAAAAGTAAAATAAAATAAAATAATCCTCCTTTGTTTTCCGTGGGACAAAAGTATGTAATTATGCGGAGATGAAAAAATTTGAGTTTTCATTTGGTTAGGGTTTTACTTCACAAGTTGCTAGGGTTTAAGAAATGTTGAGCAGCAAATTGGGCATGCTCTCAAGGAGGGTTCATCGCTCTTTGGTTTCTATTCGGAACCCACATCACCAGCTTCAACTACACTTCTCCACCAACACCATTTCTGACTCGGACACCGACTCAACCTCCACTCAGCAAGGGGAAAGGGTTATCTTTGATCGGCCCCTGGAGAATGGCCTGGACGCCGGCATTTATAGGGTATTGAAAATTGAACTTGCATATTTCAATATTTCATTTGTTGAAGCATTTCATATGCATTTGCATTTGAATTTGAATTTGAATTTGAATGATTAGTTGTTGTTATTGTGTGTGTGTGTGTGTGTGTGTGTGAGTGTTGTGTAGGCTATATTGATGGGGAAGGCAGGGCAAAAGCCGTTACAGAAGAAGCTTAAGAGTGGGACAGTGGTGACTCTTTTGTCCATTGGAACGGGAGGGATTCGCAACAATCGTAGACCACTTGATAATGAGAGTCCCAGGGACTATGCTGATCGCTGTGCCATTCAGTGGCATCGTGTTACCGTTTATCCAGAGAGATTAGGAACGCTTCTCATGAAAAACGTTCTTCCTGGGTTGCCAATCTATCATTCTTTTTACTCTGTTACTAATCATTGTTATGACATAATTAACTAACTAATTATTTGTTTATTGTAGTTCTATCTTATATGTGGAGGGAAACCTGGAGGCCAAGGTTTTCGCTGATCCAATGACTGGTCTTGTCCGTCGAATTAGGGAAGTTGCTGTTCGTCGAAATGGTACTCTTCAACTCTTATTATTCTATTTTTATTTTTTTGTTTTTGGGTATCTTGTTGAAAGAAACGTGTTACTTTGTTCTTTTTAATAATGGATTTGCGCTCCTGCTTGCTTTTATCCAATTTGCTGGTTAGAAATTATTAACATGTAGGTCGGTAGCTGTAAGATCAAGAAGCCTGATCTTATGGTGTAAACTGTAAAGTGTTTCCACTGTTATCCTTCATGACCTTAGTGATCAGAAGGGTAGCATTCTGTTATATAGTTCCTTATGCTACTTGGTTGGTTCATTGTGGCTTTCTAACATCTGCTGAAACGAAAATGGTCTAGGAGTAATTTCACTTGCTTCTGATGGTTTCTTTTATTTTATTTTATTTTGTTTTATGGCTGTGCAATAAAGTATAGCGTCGTCCTGTCTGAATGCCTTACAGAGCAATCCCTTGAAATGTGCTAGAGGCCCAAAAGCCTTATCTAAGGAGTTGTTGTAAATTTGTAATAACTATCTATTCCTGAATAATTGTGGATAACTAAGATTCTGAAATTGTTTCTATGTTGCTGCTTGGCTGAAAGTAGGGTTGGGAATGTGGTTCAGGCTCAGCTCACAAAGAAATTGAGCCCATTTTCTTGACTCAAGTTTGGTTTAACTTAAAGATCGCAAGCCGTTCGAGCTCAATGAGTCAATATCGAGCCTTGTATCAATTGGAATTTTTATTTTTAATGAGTTATACTCGAATTTATAATTAAATAAATTATAATTGCATACAAGGATTTCCTCACCCATATCTTTGCAAGTTGGGGTTTTATCGGGAGTTATTTTTTTATTTAGTTACAAAATAATTTAGTCAGACCAATAAAATAAAATCAAAGCTCACATACATTTATTTAAAGTATTATTATTATTAATAATAATATTCTTAAAAACAACTATATATATATATATATATATATCTATATATATATGGGAGGGATCATTTGACTCCAGAGTAAGATTTAAAAGTCTTACTCCTCATCTCAGCCCTTGATTTTCGTTCATCCAACGGTTATCATTTAATTGAAATTAATAATTAATTAATTGTTGTAACTTATTAAATGATAACCGTTGGATGAACGGAAATCAAGGGCTGAGATGAGGAGTAAGACTTTTAAATCTTACTCTGGAGTCAAATGATTCCTCCCCTATATATATATATATATATATATATATATATATAGCTGGCTCACAAGCTAATGAGTTGAATCTTGAAAACTTAAGCTCAGATCATTTAACAAACCAGTCAAAATTTTCAGCTCATTGAGCTAACAAATCAAACTATGAGCATGCTCACAAGCTGACATGGTTGTTTGCCAGCCCTAGCTAGAAGAACGGAATGAAATATTTCCACCATGGTGTGCTTGGTAGGGAAGGTGTAGAATAGAAAGGAAAGAATTAGGGACAGAATTGAAAGGTTTTGATTTCAGTTTTTCACTACTTGGTTCTTGGTAGAGTGTAGAAAATGGATGGAAAATGATTTTTAGCTTACTTTCATGCTATGCGAGGAGAAGCCTTACATTGTGGGCTTGGACAGAAAGTGAGTTGAAAATTTTCAACATTTCTTCATTTTGGTAGGGAAGGTGGAGAATAGAAAGGAAAAAATTAGGGACATAATTGAAAGGTTTTGTTTCAGTTTTTCACCCCTTGGTTCTTGGTAGGGTGTAGAAAATGGATGGAAAATGATTTTTAGCTTTACTTTCATGCTATGCGAGGAGAAGCCTTACATTGTGAGCTTGAACTGATAAAGAATTGAAAAAAATTCTTCATTTTGTTTCTACTGAGCTGGTGTAAAATATTCATTCTCCACCCCATTCTCTATCTGCATATGTTAAGCACAATGAATCACACCTTTAGTGTTATTGTATGTGAAATGTTGGAGATTGTTATTGATGACTGCATCTGACTAGAGAGCAATATATAACTTAAACATGTATTGCGATGACATTTTTGTGCTTTGTGCGTTTCTTCCAAGAAGTGAATTCATTAATATGGGAATTGAAGTGTTAATGGAGAGGTTCTTGAAGAGCACCCTTTTTATTTACAAACCTGATTCGGAGAAACAACTATGACTTTCTACATGTTATTTCCACCATTGAATTAATTCTCTACTTGTTTTTTGGTCCCCTTTAACCTTGCTCTTTCACTTAATTAAATAAATAAATTTTAGAATATCTTGGGAGTATTTTAGAGTATCTTAGCATATCTTCATATTATATTTGCAATGTCTTAGAATTTGTTATGGTACAATTAGTAATCTGATTGAGGAAGCAATCTTAGGACTTGTTTCTTGATTTCATTATATTTTCAGATTTGTTTCCGTATTTAATTAGGGTTAATAATATTATTATATTAGTGGTCTTTGGCATGTACTAGTAGTACTATACTACTACTTGACCTAATTAATGGAACCATTAGGATTGTATTTTGTAACATATCATTATAGAGTTTATAAATCTACTATCTTATATTATGCATATTCTCTATTCTTCATTTTACTCCTTCCCTATGTAAACCCTATAATCATTAATTTTTTTTATCCATGGTTGGTATGCTCTCGATACGAACATTAGTTTTTCCTGAGTTTCCTATTGAAACATGAATTTCTTCTGGAAGCCAACAGAATATGTTGGCATGATATATCTCACACTTTCTGGCATGGGTTATCTATGACTAAAGATTTTATGTAGCTTATGATTAAAATGATGTTTGGCATATGACAGAAGATTGCTTGAAAATAAGATATCTTGAGTTCTTTAACAATGGACTTGATGCAATTGGACTTTCCGTGTTCCACAGGTCGCGTTATATTTTTAAGTCAAGGTGGTGATGCTGAGCAACAGATACAACAAAATGACCAGAGAGCTGTTGGCTATTACTAAAGTAGATGCTTGAAATGGGAACTACGCGGGATTCAGTTGGCAATTGAGAATTTTCGATTTTGTAATTATATTCTGATTTTTTTTTACCGCAAAGTTGGAATTGGAATTGTTACATGACATTTGTCATGATGGAAACTCTTGGTTAAGTTTTGACATTGCTCTAAGCATTTTGATATTGATGAAATTTCACTATAATAAACTAAGTTTTTGTTGTTATTTTGCACACTATTTTGATGTACACGTAATAATGAGCGAAGAGTTTCTTTAATTTAGTAATGTGCTACTTATTTTCTTTAATACAGAAATAAAGATAGAGACTGATATTAAAATCATTCTTACGTGTATAAATTGTCCAATTTTTTTTTTTTGCATCTTATTGGTCAATAAACTGTTTTTAATTGAAAATTGGAAAGGAAAGAAAGAAAATAAGCAAAGCCGCATATTTTTATTCATATTATAATTATTAACATTTTTTTATGGAACCGAATACCCAAAAATAGATGTGGCGGGTAATGGATTGGTTCTGCCCACTTTCAACCCGCCTCAAAATGACCCGTTCCACTTTTGAGAGTGAATTTAAAATTTTTAACTCATTCCAAACCATCTCCAACCTTTTCTCCGCTGCCAATAAATTAGGAAAATGAATTTTTTTCAAAAATTATAGTATCAAATTTAAAAAAAAATCATAGTATCCACATATATAAAAAGGGATAGGATATTACCAAAAAAAAGGGGATAGGTTAAAAACCTTAATCCTTAATTATAGTATCAAATTTTTTATAAAATCATAGTATCCACATATATCAAAAAAAAAAAAATTGAGAGCATGCGTTCGAATCTCTCCAGTACCACTTTTGGGAGGGGTTTAAAACCTTAAACCTGGACCCGCCCCGAATCGGATTAGTTGCGAACTCATACGCACGGACACGTGTTCGACACGGACACGCTCGAACACGCGGTCAACTTTCCGACACGTTTCGACACGCGGTCAATATTTGGGGACACGCGGTCAATATTTGGGGATACGCTCGGACACGTTTTTTTTTTTTTTTTAAATCTTAATTTTATTTTGTTAACTAAATATAAAAGAAATAATTTATAGATTAATTTTTTTCTGTTATAAAATTTGACATTAAAAATTAACAAAATACGAAAAATTACTTATATTTATATTTATGTTATAAAATTTAAATATTTGATTGGTTATATGACTTATTATGGACTCTTATATGTATTAAATATAAATTATATTATATATATTAAAATTTTTATTTAATATCAAAATGTGTCCCAACGTGTCGAAATACGACATTTTTTAGAATTAACGTGTCGGCGTGTCGTGTCCCGTGTCCGTGCATCATAGGTTGCAAAGCAATGAACCGATTGTAATATTTCCAAAAAAAAAGTGAGATAAGTTATTCTAGCTATCATTTTTTCTGTCTATCTTTGCCTACCACTCTTCAATATTTAGATCAGAATCTAAAGAGGAGAGAGAAAGATAAATGTTAATTAAGATTCTAATCTAATAGTATTAAAGAGTGTTAGACAAAGGTAGACAGAAAAATAGTAGATAGAATAACATATCTCTATAAAAAGTATTAAATGGAGATAAAATGTGTAAAAAAAGTTATTGATGAATTATTTTTTTTGAAAAAAATAAAAAAATCAACCCAATGAGTCAAGCCATCCCAAAGTGGTTGAATCCATTTTGACTCGCTCTTTAGGGTGTGTTTGGGAGTTTGGAAGGGAATGGAAAGAAAGGAATTTAAAGGGGAGGTATAAAATTTTTATTTATATGGAAATTAAAAATATGATAAGTGAGAAAAATGAAGAGTTAATGAGATATTTTTACAATTTTATCTTTTGTTAAAAAACTAATATCATTATTATATTTTACAAATGAAATTAAAAATAAAATTTATAAAAAATTTATTTGTGTAATTTTCACATTTAAAAAATAATTCTCCATCTAAAAAATTATTTTCTTCTCTTTAAAATGGTCTATTTCACATTATAACTAAGTTAAAATTATTAAAAAAAATTATAAATCACATAAATAAAAGTAAATCCCTTATCTTAAAATAATACAATTGGAAACAAAAAAAAATTGTTTCATCAAATAAATTCAAATAATTTTAAGAAAAAAAAAAAATCAAAAAATTGAAGAAGAGAGTAAAACACATGAGTCATTTACTATAATTCTCCTCTTAGACCTCCAAAATTGGTGGAACTAAAAATGAGAAGAGTATGAGAGGGTTTTATAAAAATTTTCAATTCATTTCCTCCAAATTTTTTTAAAACTCACCAATAAGGCTATAAGAAAAAAAAATATAAACAAAACTTTGCCCTTTATGCTCTTTCCCTCTTAATATTGATCTCAAGCTGACACAACTTTAATCGCCGGTGCTCAAACGTCGGTCTGACAGAAGAAATTAATAAACGCGAAAACGAAAATGCGAGTTTTCATTTGCTTAGGGGTTTTGCTTCACAAGTTGTTAGTTAGGGTTTAAGAAATGCGGAGGAGCAGCTACTACACTTCTCCACCAACACCCTTTCTGACTCGGACACCGACTCAACCTCAGACTCAGCCTCCACTCTGCAAAGGGGAAGGGTTAACTTCGATCGTGGGCCCCTGGAGAATGGCTTGGACAGCGGCATTTTACAGGGTATTCAAAAATTGCACTTAGCATCATTCTTTCATTTGTTGAATCATTTCATTTGCATTTGCATTTGAATGAGTAGTTGTGTGTGTGCTCGTGCATGCTTTTGTCCAGTTTGCTAGTTATGACTTATATTAACTCTCACAACACACAATTTGTATGCTATTAGAGATTCGGAGAATTAATATTGAGAAGACAATTAAAAATCAACCACAAAAGTTGGAAATTATAAGGAAGGGGAAATAAAGTCCAGTGCCCTTCTGTCTTAATGTCTTACAGAGAAATCCCTTGAAATGTGCTAGAGGCCCAAAAGCCTTATCTAAGGAGTTGCCACGAATTCGTAATCTGAAAGGTATCCTTCGGCCGTAACCGAAGACTAATCCCCAATCGAGCACTGTCGGACCCTTTCGGGGGCGGCTCTCCCAAATCCTTTTTTTCCATTCGCAGGGCTCGAACTCGAGACCTCTGGTTAAGGGACCCAGACTCCTTACCACCTGTGCCAGAGGAGTTTGGTATAACTATCTATTTCTAATTAATCGTGGATAGAAATGTTGATCCTTCTAAGATTCTGAAATTGTTTCTATGTTGCTGAATTATTTTGGAGATTGTTATTGATGACTGCATCTATCTAGAGAGATATATAATTCAAACATGTATTGCGATGACATTGTAATGCTTGGTGCATTTCTTTCAAGAAGTGAATTCATTAATTAATATGGGAATTGAAGTGTTAATGTAGAGGTTCTTGGAGAGCACCCTATTTATTTTACAACCCTGATTCTGAGAAACACGAGAGATACTGTAAGTTAAAATAAAAGGATTGTTATAAAAAAAAAATAAAAAAAAATAAAAGGAAATAATTTGAAAATCTCGCATTCAATCATTGAAATGCAATAATAATGACATGGATGACAAAGATTCTGAATAACAATAAAAGAAAATAATTTGAAAACTTGTTATGAAGAAACAAAAACAAAGATTGTGAATGAAAATACAGAAAAACAGCCTAAATTTTTAGCATCAAATTGATGAAATGCAGTAATAATATTCTACCAGTTGTGACAGTGCTTATGAAATTAGTCTCAGAGATATCTTAGTCAAAGACTATAATAATTATAATTTAAAATTTTAATATTACATTTATAAAATATAATCATGACAGATATACTGTTATGACCATTAAAAATATATGATTATTGAAAAAATAGATATTAGATCATTGTGATAACGCTCAGAATTGTACAAAATATAAATTGTTTTATTTGTGATCAATTTCACATCAGAGTAATTTACTTCCACAAACTTTTTTCACACATTAAAAATGTGTGGTTAAATTATTTGTCAACCAATATTTTATACATTAAAATAAAATGTCAATCACTTATTTTTATTCTTGATAGAAATCTGTATAGGCTAGGTGTGTGAAGTATCATTACGGTTCCATATAAATTAACATTGTCGTTACCATCACCCCTATTAATTGCTAATAATTGTGACTTTTTTCTTCTTCTTTTTTCGGTACAGAATAATTGTGACTTCATGGAAGAAGAATAAGACTACGACACAAGCATTCTCAAAGTCATGTCCCAAACAACCATATGTCACGTACATCATCCTTTTGTATTATATTTTCATGATGAGCGCATATTGGATATGGAATACTAATTAAGAGCATTATTTACGTAATTCCTATTATTACCATATAATTTTTTGCGGAAGTTGAAAAATAGGAAAATTCCTTTTTTTTAATTCTTTTAATAGATATGAATGCGGAATTCAAGATGAGTAATGAATCACCTAATCATACTATATGAAGCATCAAGCAAATTATGTCTTATATGGACATAAATTTCCAACTTGTGAAACTGACTACAGACTAATTAATAGGGCAACCACTTTTGTTCTTTTTTGTTTTGTGATTCATGGCAGAAACTTGAGGTAGCCAATCTGTGCTTCTACTTGTGGGGTTGTGGGCAAATAAATTTGGAGTCAATGGACATTGAATTTAAAGCTACAGACTGTACAGAACATCTGTCTTACGGTTAAAAGAGAAATTTAAGCCGGGATTGAATCCCTCACGTAACTTTTTCTTACGAAAATTTTGTATTTATTTTTCTTTAGTGTTTACAAATTATAATATTGTTTTTATGTTTAATGTTAAGACTGACAAATTAATTGTTATTCTTTCTTTATTTTTTATCATAATGAGCTCTCTCACTTCAATTCCTTAATTTGTTTCATGATTATATAAGGAGATCTGATTATGTTTAGACGAGACATAAGATGTAATTATTTATTTATTTTTGAATTTCATATCATCCTGATTACCCTTTTAAATAAATGAGATCAATTTTAATCCCTAATACTCCTAACACTAGAGAATGAGGACTCTCAAGTCTCAAGTCTCACCTATGAATTAATGCCTTAATGGTATAAAGGCCAGAGAAGAGAGAAAAGAGGAGAGAGGGAGAATGGATGTGAGGAACATTGGTGTGGTTGTGGAAGAGGTGGATGCAGCTAGAACTGCACTACAATGGGCACTTCACAACATCATTCGATGTGGTGACACAGTCACCCTCATCCATGTCTACCCTTTAACAAAATCCAAAACCAAAAAAAAAGCTCGTCTTCTTCGCCTCAAGGGCTTCCACTTAGCCCTTTCCTTCCAAGAAATCTGCAACAACTTCTCCAACGTAAGCCTTTTTTCTTCTTCTTCTTCTTAATATTATTGTCTTTTAATTTTTATTGATGGTTATGTGCCATAATCTTAGGATTGTGTTACAGACAAAGGTTGAGATTGTTGTCACCGAAGAGGACCTAGAAGGAATGAAAATTGTGGCCATGGTGCGAGAGATTGGAGTTTCAATGCTAGTTGTTGGACTCCATGATCATAGTTTTCTTTACAAGTATGTCCAATGCCAAATGTTTCTGTTTTGAGCTCAATTTCATGAGGTATATTGGAATTATTATTAGTACTTGTATACAGTAATTGGGGTGGGTGGTGGTGATAATGACCCTCTTTCTAAATTCTAAATACATGGATCATCCTACCCATTCAAGTTGGATTAAGGTTCTGATTAAAGGTCAACTTCTAGTTTATAAGTATTAGGGATTTCAATCTTGAATTACTTATCAGTTATCACTCAGGATAAGGATTCTGGTTCTGGAGTCATCTTATTTTTAATCTTTCTTGGAGTCACTGACACTCTACAACATGGGTTTGTGGGACCTGGGTTAATTGTTTAATTTGGATTCTGTTCCTTTAACTTGGAAGGATGCATGCTTTTGCCAGTGAGCTTCAGAAATTGGTCACGGAAAACCTAGGCACTTGCACATGCCTTGTTAGTAGTGATAAAGAAAAAGCCAAAAGCTTGAAATGACCCAATAGAGAAATATATTTGGCTAAGATAATTGATGTGCTGCCTCCACCAAATATTCACAGAACCGTTCAACCACATTTGAATTTGAAACGTCCATTCATAGTAGTTTGTGTCTTTGTCAGATACCTAAGGCTTTGAATTTGGTGTGCTCTGAGTATTATTTTTTTGTTTCCTGTGTAAATTTGTTGTAGTTAGTGTAATACTAAATCTCACAACTGAAATCAGTGTTTCTGTAATTTCTGTTCATATTGCATAGCTTCACAATGGCCCATAAAAGTATAGATAGCAACTTCAACTGCAGAGTGTTTGCCATCAAGCAGCCTCCTTCATCCCAGCTGAGTCCCATGCCTTCTGCATTAGGAGTCTTAGACAGTTCAACTAACATGGACTTTTCACATATAGAAATTTCTGGAGCACAGTAAGTTTCTTGAAAATCTATCTCATCATTACTATTTGTCAAAATGTTAGTTCCCGTATGCATCATTTGATACCTCACATGAGAGTTGTTGATCTTGTCTTAATCTAACGACTCTGATATATATATAAGCACATTACACCATTCGGCGCTTTTGCGTTGTTTTTAAAGTTTGAGTTATAATTAAGGGAAACATTTTTCTCATGTTACACGAGACACACATATGAATGGACGGAACCCACTTAAAAAAAGAGAAAGGAAAAAGTGGATCCCACCACTTTTGTGTATGTTATATTGGACAATTTGTCTCATGCATGATGAGAAAAATCAAATCCTATAAATAATAATGAAGCAATTAAAGGGCTAAGAGGCAGAAACACCCAACTAAAGTTTCTAATGTTGATGTATCCATAAAAAAAAAAAAAAGTTTCTAATGTTGATGCATTGCAGTGATCCTGATACCCCTCCACCAAAAGTGAAATACCGGATTTGCCCTGACCCTACTGCAATTATTTGGAGAATAAGAAGGTCAAGGAGAAGGTGAAAGGAAAGGTCAACACCTCAAGCACCTCTCGAAGCTGACTCTGTCAATTTGGTTCAGCAAAGCTTCTTTTAATTAAAATGATACCAAAAACAACTTGGGCCTTGAACTATTTTTTTTTATATTATATTTTTCAGTTTCTTATAATTTATGTTCACCTGACATGGATATATACCAAAGAAAAGTGCAATTGGCATGGTATAGTTTGGTTTACCTATATTTGTTCTGATTGTATAAACGATCTTTTGGTAACATTAACTTGGTATATATTCGAACAGTGAAGATAACCTTCTCTGTTTTCTTTAGCGTTATTTTCCTTATCTTGCCCACGCTAGATAATATCTAAGAATTGGTTTAAATTCTGAATTCATAATTAATAGAAGATATATGCAGGAGGAAAAAAAAGTGGTTGAATTGATAATAGAAAGGGTAAAGAAGGTTCCATAGATCTTACATTTTGATGCTTTTGCATTTAACGTTGGCAAGTCAAAAAAAAGATCGTATAAAGTGGTTCGCAAATGTTCAATATTTAATAAAAATAATAGAGGTTTTATTCGATGTTCAATTGGTCATTGATTCGATGGGTTTTGTTTTTTTTTCAATTTTATGTTTTCTTCGTAATTTTTTAATGGGAGCATAGAAATAATACTCCCTACCATAGACACAATGAGAGATGAGAGAGAATATTTTTACACAATGAGAGATGACAGAGAATCCTTTGATGGAATAAGAGAGAATATATTTTTATATCTGTGACACAAGTATTATTTCTGAAATATTATTTCTGCCACAACTCCAGAAATAATACTCCATTTTTTAATACACTATCATCGAACTTCTTAAAAGGGCCTTTTTTTTCTACAGAAAATAGCCCATTAGATATTTAAAAAAAGATACAGGCCAGAGGCCCAGGAGAAGTTTTGTTGGCTCATAAGCCCACTTGCTGACGCCTTCTCTTTCTTATATTTACCCGAAAGTTTGACCAATAAGCAATGGAGAATGGACTACTCTACTAACTCTGTGATGTAGAATGGAGAATGGAGAATGGACTACTCTACCCGAAAGTTTGACCAATAAGCAATGGAGAATGGACTACTCTACTAACTCTGTGATGTATAGGCCCTAAATTATATTGAATCAATTTCAACAATTTTATATGTGAGATTCAAACCTGTACACTAAAAAGGCGTTTGGGACAGGAGAAAAAAAAATTTATTCCGAAAATAATTATTACCGGAATATAATTGAAAATATATTTTACTGGAATGTTACTAAAAAGTTGTTTGGTAGACTCATATTTTCTCGAAAAAATATGGTTAATTTTACTGAATTTGTGTTTAATTGTTATGAAATATTAGTTGGAATATGAGGTTATTTTATCAAAATAACCCACCTTATCCTAAATCATATCTACAGATCCTACAAATTGAAGGTCAATTTAATCCACATTTTTGTGCTTTAATTTTGACTTTCCCAGGTAGTCAACAATTCCACCTATTTTACGAATCTCTAATTTGACAGACCATACGAAAGTTATCACACAAAACCATTTTGTCGGAGACATATTTGCTCTGAGAAATTTTGAGAATCGAGCAACCAAACGTTGTATTCTTTGTTCCCTTACCATGTTTTTCCAAGATTTCATAAAAAAATTGCGTACCAAACACCTCCTAAAGAATAATACATGTAATATTAATCACTAACTCACAACTATATATGCTTATTATACTTTTTTGAATATTAGACACTTTTATATATATATATTACTCAAACGATTCAACTCATGAGCTTGAATTAGAAACTCAATAGCTCAACCGAGTTAACCACCACCAATACAAGTTTAATAACCTTGATAGTTCCACATGATAGCATACTATTCAATCTTTTGCAAAATATTATCTGTGGGCTATACTCTGGGCCAACGAGGAAGGAAGCAAGAAAGCAAATGGCCCAAAACTAAAAAAAACGAAGCCGACTAACTTAAGTGAGGTTGGGCTTAGGAGAAAGCTGGCTAGTGTGACTGTGAAGTAAGTTAGTTACATTACATGAATGGCTAAAAGATCAACTCAACTCAACTCAACTCAAGTTGTGTATGAGCCAAGTGGGTCGACTCTTTATGTTTGCATTATAGTCGCTTCGCTTTTGAGTGTTGAGAATGGTTTGAGCGAAGCCGTCCAAATAGCGTTAACAGCAAAAGAAAGAGAAAGACAGAGAGAGTTAAGATCTGCAGCGACGCGGCTCTCTCTTGCTTCTTACTCTCTCGGCTCAGATCCACTCCACGCCGATCACAATTCTCCGCCAAAATTGAATTTTGAGTCTTCCTTTTTTCATGAACTCTTCCTCACCGGTATACCCATTTCCCTATTTCCATTTTGATGCTGTCTTTACTTGTTGTTATTTTGTTGTTCAATTACCAATACTTTCATATGCTTGTGTTGTTGTGTTCATTATTTTTATTTTATTTTATTTTTCTTTCTTTATGAATTGTGGTGACTGTGATCAGACAGGTGACGGTGGGTGATAATAACATGGAGTGGGGTGTTAATAATCACTACAGAACTTACAAAGGTAAACTACACCTACCTGGAAACATAAACAACTGATGTTGTATAATTTTAGATTCTTTTTCCATTTTTCAATGCCATATGTGTACTCAAAGTTCCCAAAAAAAGAAAAAAAGAAAAAGGGAAAGTTAATTTTAGTTGAAGTTGTTGTTATTTGTTAAGTGGTGTTTATGGTTAATGAAGTTACTTACTTACACGTGTTGAATATATTAGTGAACAAATCAATCAAATGAAGACTTTGAACTGTAGTTCCCAGACTGATACAGCATGACAGTATATGTAATCAAAGAAATGAAACTGGTTTTCAGCATTTTAATTGTTCCATAAAATTGACTTCTTTTTTTTCCTTATGGTTTGTCTTTCTCAAAACTTGAAGCGGTATATTTTTTATGACTCTTTTAATTTCTTTCTTTTGACTCCTTTGAGTAGACGACAATAAATCCATGATGGATGTGGCACTCATTTCAAACATGGATCCAGTAAATATTGGCCTTGGTTGTTCTGATAAGCCAATTCCTGTCACTTCACTGAAGCCAAGAAAGAAAACAATGACTTCAGTTTATTTGAAGTTTTTTGAGACAGCTGCTGATGGGAAGACTCGGAGATGCAAGTTTTGTGGACAGAGCTATTCTATTGCAACCGCCACAGGTAACTTTCCCCCACAACATTTTGTTACTGATTATTACCTTTTATGCCTTTCTTATCCAATACGGCATATGTATCTTTTCATCACTTAGGTTTATCATAATACACCCTAGCACATTGCTGCTATGAAACCTCAGAAATGCTTGTGAAACTTTGTTATTTGAAGATCTCAGGGTTTTTGCATTTCATCAAACTTCAGTTATATTTGAAACTAGATGGATTTTAAATTGTAGCATACTTGGTTGTAAAGTTTTTTTTCCCCCTAGCAATTGTGTTTGCTTGGACATCAACTGAAGTTCCTTTATTCATGAAGGAAATTTGGGAAGGCATCTTGCTAATCGCCATCCGGGTTATGATAAGTCAGGGGATGCTGTCAGCAATTCAGCAGCCCCGCCCGCTGCTGTGGTCAAGAAGTCTCAGCCTCAAGGAAAAGCAAACCAGGTAGATTATGATCATCTAAATTGGTTGCTCATTAGGTGGCTTGTTTTAGCTTCTCTCCCCCCTTCAACTCTGGAAGAGAAGTGGCTTGTAAATTCCTACAAGTTTTTAAATCCATGTATACAACTTTGGCCAAGTGACAAGTATAGAACTGTACTTGATGAAGTTTTCAGAAGCATGAGGGAAGACGTAAGAGTATTGTTAGAACAGGTTTCTTCCAAGTTCTCCATCACACTTGATTTCTGGACTTCCTTTGAGCAGATATTTTATATGAGTGTAACATGTCAGTGGATTGATGAAAACTGGTGCTTTCAGAAGTTGCTTCTCGATATCTGTCGCATACCCTATCCTTGTGGGGGTGCAGAGATCTATCGTTCCCTCGTAAAAGTTCTTAAATTTTACAATATTGACAACAGAATCCTGTCCTGTACTCATGATAATAGTCCAAGTGCAATGCATGCCTGCGATACTTTGAAACATGACTTGGATGGTCAGAAAATAGGGCCGTTCTGTTATATTCCCTGTGCTGCTCGAACTTTGAATATGATTATAAATGATGGATTGAGATCAGCAAAACAAGTAATTTCTAAGATCCGGGAGTTCGTAATAGAGTTAAATGCCTCATCAGTGATCTCTGAGGATTTTATTCAATTATCTACAGCTTATCAAGAAGGTACTTGGAAATTTCCGCTTGATGTTTCAGCAAGGTGGAGTGGAAACTACCAGATGCTTGATCTTGTTCGCAAGGTATCTCATTGTACCTTACAACTGCTTCAATTATTGAGCATAAGAATCATCCAAAAAATTACCATGGAGATTTTTCAAAATTACTTTTAGAGTTGCAGTACCAATTTATTACAAGGCAAAACTTGGATTTGGAATGACTTCTCTTGCCTGAAGTTTTTCATATTTGCCCTTGTCGAAGAACTGTAAGAATTTTTATAACCTTGCTGATGAATTCGGCCTGTGTGTTGATGTTGATCTGATTGGAGCACTTGGTTTCAATTTACAAAAATGGTTGGAGTTCTGATTTTTCTCCTTATAATCACAGTTCATGTATATGTTGTGATGTAGTAAATATGGTAGCATAATGATGGCAATTTGTTATGTACTACAGTAATGTAGCATGTTTACGGCACACTTGTGAATTGAAACATTAGAGTATATTAACATATCTTGTGATGCATCATGCATGCTTTCAAAATTAGAAACAATGAATTAGTGTAAAACAATGTATATATTTTTATGATGCAGGCTGGTAAATCAATGGATGCTGTAATTCGTAAATATGAGGATATGCTAGGCAATAGGATGCTGCTGGGCTCTTCTGACAAAAGTGTGGTTAACATCATGCATCAATATCTTGAACCATTTTACAAAACCACAAACAACATATGCACAAGTAAGGTGCCAACAGTTGGGCTTGTCCTTTTCTTCGTGGATCACATCTCAGAAACAATTGCTACCTGCAGAGAATCACGTCACAGCCCAGAATGGCTAAAAAGTGCTGCAGATGAAATGGCTAAAAACGCCAGAAATTATATTAATCAGGTTTGCAACATATTTACATATATGACAGCAATTCTAGACCCTCGAATAAAAGGAGAGCTGATCCCTGATAGTTTAAACTCAGAAAATTTTCTGGACGAAGCAAGAACTCATTTTATGAGAAATTATTCTACCAGCCATTTCCCATCCATGAGTTCTGGATACAATGCACAAGAAATTGAAGATGGAGGTAGTGTTTCCTTTGCAGAGGAAATAGCTCGCAAGAAAAGAAGGACAAGCATGAGTTCTGCCACTGATGAGCTTACACAGTACCTGTCAGAGGCTCCAGCTCCAATACCAACAGATGTTCTAGAGTGGTGGAAGGTCAACTGCACGCGCTACCCTCGGCTATCTGTGATGGCTAGAGACTTCCTTGCTGTGCAGGCAACTTCAGTTGTGCCTGAAGAGCTTTTCTGTGGCAAGGGTGATGAAATTGACAAGCAAAGATTCTGTATGCCATATGATAGTACACAACCCATTCTTTGTATAAAGTCATGGATTCAGGTTGGCATCAAGTTTAAGTTTAAGTCGACTGAGATAGATTATGAGAGGTTGATGGAACTGGCAGCAGCAGCTGCTGCTGCAACAGATAATAGCCCTGCAAGTTCTGACAAGAAGCAAAAATAATGATAGAAGATGGTGGCACATATAACCAAATTAACAAGCATCATTACTGTCACTTTTAGATTATATCTTGACTTGTGCTCATTTTCGCTTATCTTCAGATTAGAAAAAGGTAAAGGGTGTTTTGTTCTTTGAAAACTTTATTGTTGTATGTATTATATTAATATAATGTATTATGTTGTACAGTTCCTAATTCTGGAAATTACTAACCCAGAGAAAAATCAATATGCTCCTTGACCATCACCCCTTTCTCTGCGAGTGATTTGTGTGCACACCACAAAAATGCATTTTTGTAATGGTCATAATCACTTGTTAGTTGTAACAGAATAGAACTAGTTAAGAGTTTCTTTTGTTTGTTATATGAAATAGTTAGTATGTTAATTGTAAAATGGTTAAGAAGCATAAGTGCTCATGAGTTTGTGTATAAGAAAATAGTAATGAATAGATCAATTTCTTTTCTTTAGGAGAAGGGGGAAGTTCATAGTGGGTACTTTGTGTTTTGAAAATGTTTTTGGAAGCAACGAAAAAGAATCCCTCCCAACACTATCAAAGTGAAAGCAAAGTGGTCTCAAACAATAATAACAAAGGGAGAATCAAGTGTTTTGACGAAACGAATAAGCAAAAGAATCCCCGGGACAAACAAGAAAATCTCCAAATATCATGAACTTCTTGAAGTGTATTAGGTGTTTGTGGAAGATGAAGTTCGAAGAAATGGAAGAGGAAGACACAAAAACAAATACATAGAGGTACGAAAATAAAAAATCTAAACAATGTTGGGGAAAATCTTGCAATTCACAGGTGACAAATGGGTGACTGGGGTCGTCATTGTTATAGGCCATCAGAAGACACAATGTGAAAAATTGCTCCATAATCCCCCAATGCACGATTGACAAATAGAAACAAGCCACATGTAAAGATGTAACCGCTAGGACAAGGATCAATGAGACATGCATATCCAACAAGATTCTTTCAAGAAATGAGCTTGCCCATGGAGACCCAACTCATCCAATAAGGCCAAGATCACACCAACAGCTCTAAATCTAACTGGTTCATAAACCGACCTCCAAGGCTCATCCAACGTGGACAACCTTGCTAGCAGGAAAGAGTTGAGCTCATCCAAGATCATGGAACTCATCCAACAAATAACAGCGTAGATCGACACAAATGCTAGCACAACGACTAGACATCCAACTTCAACAAGCCAAGTCCAAAGCCTTAAAACTTGACCCCCTTTTAGCTGCCTCGGTGAGAAATGTTACCACTTCATCCTAAACTCTTAGACTATGGGTGTGCATAACAACCATTTTGTTCTCTGACACTAGTTCTGAAAAGAAACAATTCTTTTCTATTTCTGTGCTTTGGAACAGTTTCTGAGGAAAAAAATGTTTGATAACATATTTTATTTTTATTCCAAGAATGAGAATTGCGTTTGGTAACATAATAAATAATATAATGAAATATAATTCCTATCAAGCATAACTTTTTTTCAAATTACACTTTCTTTCGATATGGTGTGGTGGTGGAGGTGGCAGTGGCGTCGTGGTGGTGGTAATAGTGGCAGGGGTGGTGACGGCAGCAATGGTGGTGGCGGCGGCGACGGTGGCGGTAGTGGTGATGGTGGAGACAGCAGTGGCTGCGACGACGGTGGTGGTAGTTGGTGGCGATGACGGTGATAATGGTGGCGATGGTGGTGACGGCAGTGATTGCGACGATGGTGGCAGTGGTTGGTGGCGGTGACATGGTGGTAGTGGTGATGACAGTGGCTACGACGATGGTGTTGTCGATGGTAGCGGTGGTGGTAATGACATGGTGGTGCTGGAGATAGCAGTGGTTGCGACGATGGCGGAGGTAATGTTGGTGGTGGTGACAGCAGTGGCTGCGACAATGGTTATGGTAGAGGCGGCAGTAATGTTGGTGGTGGTGACAACAGTGGCTGTGGTGGTGGTGGCAGCGGCGGCGACGACGACGATAGTGGTGGTGGTAATGACATTGTGGTGGTGGAGACAATAATGGTTGTGACGATGGTGGTGGTAGTTGGTGGTGACGGCAGTGACTGCGACGATGGTGGTGGTGGTTGGTGGCGGCATGGTGGTGGTGGTGACAGCAGTGGTTGCGACGATGGTGGTAGTGGTTAGTGGCGGTGGCGGTGGCATGGTGGTAGTGGTGACGACAGTGGCTACGGCGATGGTGCTGTCGACGGCAGCTATGATGGTAATGACATGATGGTGCTAGAGACAGCAGTGGTTGCGAAGATGGTGGCGGTATTGGTGGTGGTGGTGGTGACGGCAATGGCTGCGACGATGGTGGTGGTGGCGACGGTAATGGCATGGTATGGTGGTGGTCGGGGTGGCGGCGGCGACAGTAGTAGGGGTGGTAGTTGGTGGCGGTGGTGACGGTAGTGGCTACGACGATGGTGGTGGTGGTGACGACAGTGGCTGCAACAATAGTGGCGGTGGTAACGGTGGTGGTAGTGGTGGCGATGGATGGAGGTGGTGGTGATGATGGTGAAAACAACACTGGTGGTACGTTGACAACGACAACAATGGTAGTGTTGGGATGATGGTGGTGGTGGAGAGTAATTGAGAGAGACAAGTGTTTCTCATTTTGTGCCAGGGAACAAAAAAGCAGAAATTTAGTATCCATTTTTCTATTCCCGAGCACAAAAATTAAATCGGTTCATCCTGGGAACAAAAAAATAAACCGATTTTACCAAACGAGTTTTCTATCCATTTTTGTTCCCAGGAACAGATATTAAAAAAGAACTGATTTCGGGAAGGTTGTCATGCACACCCTATCTGACTGGGGAACGACTATTCTATACCTACATAATTAGGCTCTTTGACCCATTGGGGTTATTTGAGGTTTTAATGTACCAATTTGGTATTTGATTTTCGTTATTTATCAATGGGGGTCATTTAGTGACACGAGGGAACTCATCGTCAATGAATGTCGCGATCCTCCCCTGCGTCACTCATACATTCTTTTTTTCTTTTTTTCTTTTTTTCAATTGAGTGATGTCCCCTCCCCTCCGGCACTTATAGGATTGTGCCAAGTGGCACAATCTCGTTAGTCTCGTTATCGTAAAACTTCGAAAGATCATAACTTTTGACTCAGGTATCCAAATCAGATATTTTTTTTATTTCACATAACTTTTCGAGATCTACGCAATGCAACTCATTTGAAATATTTTATCTTCCATTAACATAGTTCAAATTTGCAACAAAAGTTCCACATTTTTACAAATTCGAACTATGTTTGTGAGAGATAAAATATGTCAAATGAGGTGTCATTTGCTTATATCTTGAAAAGTTATGTGAAATAAAAACAACATCATCTGATTTAGATACCCAAATCAAAAGTTACGGTCTTCCGAAGTTTTACGATAATGAGATTGTGCCACTTGGCACAATCCTGTGAGTGTTGGAGGGGAGAGGGCGTCACTCAATTGAAAAAAAGAATGTGTGAGTGACGCAGGGGGAGGGTCGCGACATTTAGTGATGCTGATTCCCCCTCGCGTCACCTAAACGACCCCCGTTAGTAAATACCGTGAATCAAATATCAGATTGAAAAATTAAAGGGGTAAAAATCTCAAATGGGTCAAAGAGCCTACATAATTGTCCCCACAAGCATTTGGACAAATGAGCTTTATTCATTATCAAGTTAACCCCACTATAAATAAAGGATTAAGCCTCCCATATAACTCTCTAGAAAATTCTAGCTTCTCTAATTATTACCATGCACACACACATCACTCCTTTGACTTCTTGCCTATTACTTGTGCATAGTGATATGTCACTACATGTGATTGTCTTCTCCCTTAACACTGCTAATACACATGTCCAACATTAATCACAATTCCCTTACATCAAACATATATATATATATATGAGGTAGGATCTTTTGACACCATTGTCAAATTTGAAACTTGCACCTCATCTGAGAGTCATTAGATCAAAAAAGATCAATGACTCTGATTTGTAAGCATGTGAGACCATTGATCTTTTTTGATCTAATGGCTCTCATATGAGGTGTCAAAGGATCCTGTCTATATATATATATATATATATATATATATATACTAAAAAAATTTCCCAACCTTTTTTTATACAAATTTTTTCCATATTTTTGGATACAATGGTACTTTAATGGTTTTCATTTTCAAAAAATTGGAATGGTCAAACACAATGGCAGATCCAACAAAAGTACTCGGCTCATGTCAAAAAAAATTATTGGCACCAAATACTAAATTTTATTCTTTTTTCAAGTACTGTAATTAGGGGTGTAAATGAGTCAGGCTAGGCCGGGCTTTGGCCTTCCTGGCCTAAGCCTACGTAAAAAAATATTCAGCCTATCTGACCTATTGGCCTATTAAAGGCTTTGTTTTATAGGCAATGCCTGACCTATTTTTAAAAGTTATAAAGCTTGATATGACCTACAGACCTTGTAGGTCTCCCACTGCATATACTAAGCAAAGAAAATAATTATATAAAACAAAGAAAGTTTCATTCATGCATGCACTAATACTTCTCATAAGAAATAAAAGATGACAAACAAGAGTCAACATAATATCTCAGCTCTATAATGTATATCAGAGGGGAATTAGAGTCAAAGAAATGGGAAAAATAAGAAAGAAATACAATTATTGGGTCAACCAAAGACGAAACTTAGAGACGACGAGAGTGAGAAGTTACTTAGAAGCGACGGTGCACAAAAGAAATTAAGATTGGTACTTTGCCACTTAGAATAAATATATTATTTTATTTTTAAAAATTAAATACGCCACTCTACAAGGCTTTAGGCCAGGCTTGACAGAGTTGGCGTATGACCTGTTTGTTTAAAAGGGTTTTCTTGTAAGCCTAAGCCTATTCAACTTTCCAGAAAGGTCAGGCTAGGCCAGGCTCAACATAGGATGAGTTGTAAGCTAGACTAGGCTAGTCTGGTCCATTTACACCCTTAACTGTAATCTATCTACGGTTATTACCCATATTTAAAACGTGACTAATTTTAAAAAATCAGCATCGGAGCCGAACATAAATAAAATCAACAATTAATAAAGAGTTCGCTTTTTCTAGAATCAATGTAAATAACTTATCTACATTGAGCCCAAAACGACGTCGTTTTGAGACGAAAATCAAGGTATTTTTGTAATTATAATTTATTTCAGGGTTATAATTGTAATGTCCAACATCGGTTGGAGAGGGGAACGAAGCATGCCTTATAAGGGTGTGGATACCTCTTCTAGTGTGAGGCCTTTTGTGGGGTGTCCCAAGAAACAAAACCGTGAGCCCGAGGGCAAAGCGGACAATATCATGCTACAGGGTTTGGGGCTGTTACATTTGGTATCTTGCCGTATAATTAATTTTCTTATTGTACGTTGATCTTGCCTTTGATTTAATGAAGTTAACCTGTGTACTAGCAACAATTAAAGCTGAAGGTAGCGTGTTTAATTTTTTTCAACGAGAATCATAGAGTTCTAAGTTCTTATTCATTTATTTATTTTAAATGCGTTCTTTTCATCATCTGGATCGTTCCATTGAATTGCAAATAACACAATTCAAGAGTAAAATGCAATATAGCAGCTGATCCTTCCAAAAAGAGAAAAAAAGAAAAAGTCTCAGCAAGTGATCTACCCTTATGGCCTCATCTAAGGGGGAACATGAGAAGAAGAAAAAAACACCCCACATTCCCCACTCCACGTATACCCTTGCATGTCACCAAAATAGGACCTTTAATCCCACACTTGTCCCTTCCACACACTCCCCTTTCTTTTTACGCCTCTCTTCCTCTTTTGAATCTCTTTTTCTCTCTTTCTCTCTCATTCTCTCAAATTCACTTCCAAACAAACATTATTCTTCAAGCTTCAACTCTCTACCATGGCTGATCGTAACCCAAGTTCAGCCCAAACGCAAAGACCCACAACAACAACAACAAGACCCACAACCTCAGCGGCATTTCTTCGAAAACTTCAAGAGCATTCCCCGAACTCAACCCAACTCGCTGGCCTCTTAACCCTTCTGGTAACCGGATCCATATTGCTCCTTCTCACCGGTTTAACCGTCGCAGGAACCATTATGGGTCTGATCTTCTTCTCGCCGTTGATCATTGTGTCGAGCCCAATATGGGTCCCAGCTGGCACGCTTCTCTTTCTTGCCACCGCAGGGTTCTTGTCCATGTGCGGATTCGGACTTGTCCTTGTGGCTTCGGTTTCTTGGATGTACCGTTACTTCAGGGGTCTCCACCCGCCCGGTTCGGACCGAGTCGACTACGCTCGGAACCGGATTTACGACACGGCCAGCCACGTCAAAGACTATGCTAGAGAATACGGTGGGTATTTGCAGAGTAAGGTGAAGGATGCGGCACCCGGCGCTTGAGAACCGGGAGAACCGAACCGCTTCCCCTTGTTGAACCAAACCGGTTCGGCTTTTTATGTTAAATGTTATGGCCAGTTTATGGTGTGTGTATCTCTGTAGAAGTTCCCTCAACTTTTTTTTTTTTATTCTTTTGTTCTTTTTTTTTTGCTTTGATGTAATCGTGTCTGTGTCTGAGTGCTCGTTCCTCTACTTTCCACGTACTATTGTATTTTGATTTTGACCTGAGCATCCACGAATGTATTTCTCTTGTTATTATTGTCTATCATCCACCGAAATTTTCAAAAAATTTGACGTACACTCCGACACTGATTATCGTCATCGTTATGTTGTGTCGGTGCAACATTGATTATCGTCATCCTTATGTTGTGTTCTATGATGCAGAAGAAAAAAAATACTAGAATTATAACTATAAACTAAGGTGGTATTTGGCACATGGGCTTTTTTTCAGAATAATGGAAAAGTAGGATGAAAAAATTATTTTCTCATGTTTGATAGGACTTAGGAGAAGAGTAAAAATAATCCAAACAAAAAAAAAATTCCAATGATTTTGTTTTACACAGGCTATATATGCCCATCAAAAAATACCATGGATGGCATGGAATTTTTTTTCCAACGCGCTCGGAAACCTGTCACTCATTTCTCAGACCAAAATATCCAGCCAAATTTTTTTTGCCATGGAAAGTGTGGTATGAAAAAAGAAATGTTTGTCCGTTGGAAATTCAATTTGCAGTCAAGTTGTTTGCCACCATTTTACATTGTTGAACTTTTCCATTGAAAATGTGGAAAAAGGAATTCCCGACGCGGGGGAAAATGGCTCGAAGTTTTTAAGACAAAAACACCCTTAGCCCTAGATATAAACAGAGAGGTGAGCGAAAATGTATGGGTAATTTTGGTAAAGATTCCCATTATTTTTTTATAATCAACCAAACATAGTTAGTTAAATTAATCCAAGTTTCCTGTCAAATTTTTTTGGGCTACCAAACATCTTTTTGCAAATTATCCCGTAAAAAAATTTGCTAACTATTTATCCGCAATTTTTTTTCCGGATCAAAAAAAATTTCTTCTTATAAAGAATCAATTCAATTCAGAAGCTTAAGAAAGAAATTTTACTAGAAAAAAAGTGAAAGGCGGTGAGGATCGAACTCATAACACAAAGTTTTAATGCCACCATTTTAACAATTAAGATGAAGCTACATTAATGATTATATATATTTCAACAATTAGGATGCCAATAACTCAGGCGTTCACCTTGTTCTCGGGTTATCTTTGACTTGTACTACAAAGGGAACCACCATTTCACCTACACCCAGCAAGGCTAATGATCATCATCTTTGTCTCCGGTGAGTGTAACCAGCAGCAGGTGGCCAAGCAAGGGACCAAAAATAATTACTGGAACAAGTTTATTGTGAGGACCCTCCCTCTTCTTGACTTGTCTAGACAGACTTCACCTCACATCGTTGTTTCGTCTTTCTCCCGCGGGGGAGTGGTCAAGGTGGTTAATTTTGTAAAATCATCTCATATTTTCAATAATATTTTACAATCAACCAAATATAACATCAGGAAAATTGACCCAATATTTCTAGGGATATTTTGGTCTACCAAACAATTTTTTTGTAACATTCTTAGGAAAAAAACTTCTCATCACATTCCTGTAAATTATGATTCCTGGGTAAAATAAAAATTCTCCAATATCAAACGCTCCTAATACATTGTTATAATTTTAAAAGTTTTTTTTCTCTCCTAAAAAATTGTCGGTTGACGTGACGAAGAGAGAAAAATAACTTGAATATTACAACAATGTACTATTTCTAATATATAGTTATAATTGGTTGCATAAGAGAAATTTTTTTATAGCAACATAAGAAGTTAGAGACCCATAAACTAATGTCCGGGAACATTATATATTTTTAGGGTTTTGTTTTTGTAATGTAACATGACAGGAGATTATTTTCCTACACACTTATGATATATGTGGGGTCCATTAAATAGTAAAGTGAGAAAAAAATCAAAGGTGGGACCCAACTTGGATTGTGTGTGTAGAAAAAATGATTAGTTGTCATGTAACATAACAAACTATTTTCCCATATTTTTATATAAATATGAAATTTGACTAATTTATGTAATGCATACAACCTCATTTATAATATATTGGACCTTACGAGACTACTGGCAGGCCTAATATTCCACAGCCCAGGCCCATGCAAGTACAATAACAAATAAACTCAAATATATTTTTAGAATAAATCAAGTCTACTTTATTTTTAGAATATAAACTGAATCTAAAATGGTTTCAGACAAATTGGTGTTACCCTATCCTTGTTTGCTAAAATTGGTTCTCTAGAGCAAAATGAAGCTCCATTTGTGGTTGAGAATGAAGGAGCACAGCCACTACTCCGATTGTACTAATTTACTCAAAGACCACCACCCTAGAGGAACAAAAAGCATGCTTATCAACGTTGGGAAAGTAGGGAGGAGTTTGAAGCCATCCAATATGACAAAGTCAAGGACCATCCACTTGGGCTACGCAATCGATTCCTCCTCTTTGTCACTGAATAAATTTCTCAAAGTCATTCCCCTTCCACATGTTTTGAAGTTGATACTAAAAAACTGTGGTTCCATGTAATTAGGGGTGTAAATAGGTTAAGTCGGCCTACAGGGACCTACGACTTAGTTTATATTAGGTCAGACTTGGTCTATTATAAATAGTAAAATAAAACAGACCTAGGTTTTTAAGAAAACTTATTTAGAAAATAGGCCATAAACTTTTTTGTACATGTCGGGCTTATAAACCTACAGGTCGGACTACTTCATATTATTTATTTTAAATAAAATAAATAAAATTATTATTTTAATAATTTTGAATAATAAAGTAATATTATTTTAGTTATTCTTTTATTTGTTGAATGTTTAATAGGCTTAAACAGGCTAACAGATCTAGACCAAGGCTTTTATTTTTTAAATATAAGTCAGGTCAGACTTGCAATTTGGGGCCTACACAGGCTTACAGGTCAGACCAGACCCAATATTTTTTACACAGGCCTATTTAAGTCAAAGACTAGCCTAACCTAACCTATTTACTTGTATTTTTTATTTTTTAAAAAAAACATTTTAAAAATTTGTAGTCAAAGAAACCCTAACTCTGTCACTGCTCTCTCTCTCTATACCCTTTTTCTCTTCAATGTTAAGCTAAATATTATAGAATTTATAGAATCAATACCACAAAGCCATAAGAGTAAAAAGAACAAATTTCTAACCCAAAAGAAAAGAACCAAGAAATATAAAAAGAAAAAGAAAACAATAATTATAAAATTATACATATTAATAATTCAGAAAAATATTTCTGCAGTTACTGCAAATAAGTTATCTGTATTTAAAGGCTCATTCTAAGTATCTCGGCTTTAGCAAATAATTCTGGTTTATGGAAGGCTATTGTTAAGTATTGGCCTCAAACTCTAGAGAATTCTCGTATCATTTTAGGTGATGGGGTTCATACGTCTTTTTGGATGAATTCGTGGGTGCCAGGATGTCCTCAATTTGTAACTTGTTATGGTAATTGGGACTGGCCTTTATTCCAACACCTTCTTCCTACTTCAGTATTAGATAAGATTCGTAGTGTGCTCCCTCCTACAGTGGATCCTTCTCCGGACCGTGTTATTTGGGCAGGTAGCCAAGATGAGATTTTTTCAGTGAAATCAGCTTATAACTATCTCATGGGTACCTCGCATTATCATCAGGATAGGATTTGGAAGGTAATTTGGGCTTGGCCTGGTCCTGAACGTATTAGACAATTCTTATGGCTTCTCTACAGAGGTTCTCTTTTAATTAATGTTCGTAGAGTGCATCGTCACATGGCTACAGATGCAGCGTGTCTGAGATGTCATTATAATCTTGAGGATAGTTTACATGCCATTAGAGATTGTCCTGGTGCTAGGGAATTATGGGAGCATTGGGTTCCTTCTGATAACCGTAATGACTTTTTCTCCATGGATCTTCACCTATGGATTCAGACAAATCTAGGATTAAAAGGTCCGTCTCAAACTGATCGAACTTGGCCTTTGTATTTTGGGGTGATAGCTTGGTGTTTGTGGGGGGAAAGAAATAAGGAGATCATTAATCAAACTAGCACCTCGAAGTATGGTCTCATTAGGCGCATTACCTACACTTGTGGTAATATTCAATTGGCTAATGAAACCCTTATTAAGATTGGTCATCAGGAGCTTAGAAGAGAGGAACGTCTTATTCACTGGAATTTTCCCTCTGAGGGTTATGTTAAACTTAATGTGGATGGTTCCAGCATAGACAGTGGGCAAAGGACTGCTTGTGGTGGAGCCATAAGGGATGCTGCTGGGAACTGGCTAACTGGTTTTACAAAATTTCTTGGGAGTAGTACTTATACTTCAACAGAAATTTGGGGATTCTTAACAGGTATGGATCTGGCTTGGCATAAGGGATTTAGGAGAGTCTTTGTGGAGGGTGACTCCAAGGTGGCTTTGGAATTTATAAGAAAAGGGTATGGCGTAAGTCATCCTCTTTCTGCTTTAATCATCCGAGCTCGTAGCATGCTCCAAAGAGACTGGATTATTCAGCTTAGTCATACTTATAGAGAAGGCAATTTTGTTGCTGATTGGCTTGCTACTCATGCAACTCATCAGGATGGTCAGCTGATTGTGCTGGATGTCCCTCCAACAGCTTGTTTGGAATTGCTTCGTAATGACTAGAGGGGAGTTAGTCTCCCAAGATTGTGCCCAGTATAGGGTTTTTTTTGTTGTTGCTTTAGTTTTCATTGTATTTCCAAAAAAAAAAAATTATCTGCATTTACTTTCTAAACGACGTCGTTTTGATATTGAAATATTAAAAAATTATAAATATAAAGACAATAATAACCCTGAAATAAATTAAAATTACAAAAATACTATAATTTTCTCCCCAAAATGACATCGTATTAAACTTATTACAGATAACTTATATGCAATAATTGCAAAAAAATATTTCCAAAAAAAAATAATTGCAAAAAAAGTGAACCCTTAATTATTTTTTGTGAAGCGAGATATGAATAGATAAAACAGGATATATGAATTTGTTTTTTGTCTTATAAAAGATGTGACTTGTTGCTCTTTGACTTTGTATAGTCAGTCCAGATTTGGTGGTCAAATTTGTGAAGTTTCATTCGTGATAAGCAGTATTGCTAAAAAAATTAAGTCAGAATGGAAATAGAGGGAAAAGCTTCACGA